ACACACACACACAGGACACACACACACAGGACATACTACAGACAGATTATTAACAGCGTGTACAACCACGAACATGAAGTAACACAACATCAGTACTGCGTCGTTCACTGAATGTGTGTTTCACTTTCATCAAACATGGGACAGAACCTCAAATGTTTAGATTTGAATGTTTGTGTCAAACTTTGATGTTTTCAGTAAATCAAAGACTTAGTTAACGTCACATGTTCAGCTGTCCATGAACTTTTGGCCACAATGTTAAAGTTCATTTAAACTGTTGGGGGGGCATACACACAACTGTGAACTACACAACTACTGCACACTACAACTTTGTGAGCAGTACATACATGTGCTCAGTGTGTTACATGTATGTACTGAGCAGTTTGTATGAACAGCTGTGACGTGTCATAGAAAAAAGATGACATCACTTTTTATTATTCAACCAAGTTGATGAGTTTTTGTGGAACTGAAATAATTTTGTCAGATAAGTTTTCAGAATAAAAGGATGAAGATGGAGAAAGGAAAAACCAACAGGTGACGTTATTGAGGGAAGACGAAGACTTCACCAACATTCGATATCGATCGGGAAAATTTATAGATTTGATTTTAAATCGAGTCGAAACTCGAGCAGCCATAAAAAATCCACCGAATCTAAAATGAGCAGAATTTTGAATGAACTCTGGGACGTTGAGCTCCAGAACCTGAATCTGCACAAACATCGAGTCTGTGTCTAAACGTTGTCGAGCGTCTGAAGCGTCGAGTCCAGATGTTGAAACTTAAAGAGACGACGAGGAAGCGTTAGCTTCAGTCGAGCTTTAAGTCTGAACCCTCATGAACTTTGACCTCAACACACACTGTCCTCCGTCCACACACACACACACACACACACACACACACACACACACACACAGATTCCTCCTGTTTCTCATCTTCATCATCTTCCTCACATCATTTCTCATCGGACCCAAAATTCATTTTCACCCAAAAAGTTGCAGGAAACTTTTTTTTATTGTCTCGTTAGCGCCCCCCATTGAAAGCTAATGGGAGCGCACTGGGCAGGGAAAGGAGTGATCTTCACTTCAGCAGGTGGAGGTTGTGTTTTTTTTTTTCTTTGCCTTTCAGCAGGTTTGTTCGCTCGGTAACGAAAGTGTAATTAGTTACCACGGCAACGCTTGACTCGCACACTGAGATTGAATTGTGTTTGAAGGGATGTGGGGATCAACGTGGCAGAGGGCTGCGCTCACAGGCGTCAACAGGAAGTCAAACGCACAGCTGATTATCAGAATTTAACCCCTCGGCTTCTTTCTCGTTTATCCCGTGCCAAACTGGATCAAAGCATCACGTGCTTTTATTCCTTCATTTTACTTTGTCGAGCAACTGAATGAAATCTGTCACAATGAAAAATTGAACCTAATCAGATAAAATAAAAAGAATCTCCTGGTTTGAAGCAGTGAAATTAAACGACAGCAGAAGAATCGGCTGCAGGCGAAGTTCTGAGCTTCTGTCGGACAAAGAAAATGATTTATTTATTTTCATAACGGGATTTAAATTCTCTTCTTACTTTGCTTCATTCAATAAAGAATTCTACTGAAACACTTCGATCACTGGGACTCGTTTCTTTCACACAAGAAAATGTTTAACAGATCCGACCTTTCACAATAAAACTCCCTCCCTCATCTCTTGGCTCTTCTTTCATCCTGTCTGTTCGGTCTTTTTATTTTTGAAACATTTTCTTTGTCATGGTCAGAAGGGTCCAGTAAAACAAGGAGGGGTGATTTGAATTTTTCTATAATGTTTTTGTTCTGAGACCAGATGTGGTCGTTGAAGAGTGTCTGTCTCTCTCTGTCTGTCTGTCTCTGTCTGTCTCTCTGTCTCTCTCTGTCTGTCTCT